TGAGCGCGACCGCCTATGACGGCTATGTGTTGGGTATCCTCAAATAATCTCGCTCGACTGAGGTATAGTTGAGGTTATATAATGTACTTAATAATACACTTAAATATAGTTTTAGTTTTCATTTAGGCTTGTACAAAAAATATGCTGTAAAGCAAAAGTGCTCGCGGGTTTTATGAGTTCTCAGACTTCTATGGTTTCAAAAGTGTTCGGGTTTTATGCGTTAAAATAAAACCCGACTCCCGAGCACTTTTGAAACCATGGCATAGAAGTCTGAGAACTCATAAAACCCGCGAGCACTTTTGCTTTACAGCATATTTTTGTACAAGCCTAAATGAAAACTAAAACTATATATCAGTAGTATTTACAGTAAGTGTATTATTAACTCATATTAAGTACATTGCTATAGAGTATTGTTTTAACTAGCAAATGTATAAATATTTTTATATTTTTGATTTCGTGTTAATTTGAATGCATGCAGTAATTTGAAATTGACAACTTGTCGTTCAAAATAGTTATTGTTTACAAATTTATATATATTATATATTTTTATTTAATTTTCCCCTTGTATAAAAAAGCTACTTAAAATATATCTTTAAACGATTTTGGGCTAGATACTTACTAGACATCTTCGTAGACTTTTTATTTAGGCCTCTAGTTACTGTTCATTTGTGATAATTAAATAGTCAATTATTTACAGTAAGTCAATAGCCTACATGCAATATGTAAAATGAGACGTTTTGAAGAATATATACGTCTGTATTTAAAACAGAGAAAAAGAAGGGCAATGTTCGTATTATATAAATTAATACTAATGTTGGCGATGCATTTAAATTTTTACAATGACTCGGCAACAATGACCAACAAAATACTAAACTAAAGTGCTATATATTACTAAAGTATTACAATATTTACATATATTTTAATGCAGAAGTATGTTTTATCGCATGTCTTATAGTATAAATTGTCAATTGTGTATAGCAAAGTGTTGTTTAATTTGCTTTTTGAAGTTATATGAATTTATTTCATTAAATTTTGTTTCTAACGAATTCCATACATCAACTCCTTTATATGAGAGACTGTTTCACATAATTAATATAATTTGTCCTTTTATAACATTCGTGAAGTTTTGAAGCATTTCTCGTGTTATGAATATGTTCATGATTTTGTTGTTTGTCACAAAATAATTTTTAAATAAATCTGGTAAATTATTAAAGCTGGTGGTAATGAAACATAAATCAGGCAGTTAAATAGTCAATGATTTATAAAGAGCAACGCCTCTGGTATTCCATAAACTACCGCTCTGGCATTATTCGTGGAACAGGCGATTACATCACATGAGAGGCAAATCGATTTACCGAAGCCTGTAGTAGGCGGGTTGACAAACACATCTCATTTTCTTTAATTATTGTTCGAATCGCATTCTTCTTCTGATCGTTGAAGGTAGAAATACGAAATAATGGGCGACTTCACACAATGCTTGATCATACGACGCCATCTTTGTTTCGGAATTATTAAATTTAAGCGCGAATGAGTTCCTGATTTTGGTACTCAGGCTGTGATTGGCTAAACAATCGGAATGGAATGTGTTGCTGCAGTAAGCAGCCTGTACGTGGGGAGAAAACCTCGGACCCGCGAACAGGCTGCGTAGGAGACTAAGCTCTACTCAGCTCTAAATTAATGTTGGATAAGAACACAAGGTCTTGTACTCATAGGACAAAACTCAAAGAAATAAAAATTGGAAAATTTAAAAGAAATACAATATTCCTTAATTTCCTTGTGTTCTTACCCAATCATTAATTCAAAGCAATTAGAGCTGTCAAATTACTACAATTACTACAAATCAGTTTTTTTTATACACCCTGTAAATTCAAACAACAATCGTCATGACATAATATTTCAACAGCAAATATATTAACCTCACTAAAGTCATACCGAGTCTTAAGCCTGCCGCACACGAGAGCTATCTGCTGAGCAAAAAGTTACTCGTGCCTGTTAGCTCAGCCGATAGCTCACCGTGTGCGGGTACATTTTA